AATACGCTGTTGCACAGCATAAAAAAGATCTGCATTCAATTTTGTCACTATGTGATAAACGAATGTCCATTATGCTATGATCCGCACTGTAATAATAATAATCAAAATAAATTATTCTGAATATATATTTTAAGAATCCACCAGGATCCACGCAACTTTACACACTAGTTTTTTTTAATACATAGGAGAATTATCAGCTTAAAATCCTTTTTTTTTTAATTTTTAACAGTTAGTAACATAAATGTTGGACCATTATGTTTGTATGAAGAAAGACAGCTGACACCATGTTGGTGCAAATCTTATTATTAAGTACATAGGCAACCCTGTTAATCTGAACCCCATTAATCTGAAAACCCCATTAAAATGAATAATTTTTAAAACACCAAAGCCAAACATATGTAAATTACCCTGTTAATATGAATGTCACTAATAAAACTTTATAAACCATAAACCGAAGAAATTTTTAAGTTTTTTGAAGTCCTTTATATGTAAAATTGCCCCGTTAATCTGAATTTTTATAAACCAAAGATCAATTTTTATAAACCAAAGCGAAATAAAAATTGGACCAATAATATTGTATGTGAAATTGAAATCTATAATTAAAATTTTGGGGTGGAGTGTTTGGATATGAAATTCTGATTGGCTAATTTGAATATGTGCAAATTCACAAATTTCATTTTCACGCACATGTATAAAAATTAATAACCAGGGTAGAATTTCCTCTAGTGCAAACAAGAGGAAAAAAAAACTACTGAAGAAGTTGGGGTATCAAAAAGTAAACATACACCTATAACAATCTCACAAAAAATATAAATATGCATTGAAAAAAATAAAGACCAAACATAAAAAATAACCAGCTTGCATCTAAATATAATGTCAGTAAATCTACTGTTTCTGAAATTCTAAAAAAGAGCGATTATTTTTTATCATTGAATCCAAATCAATTCACTGCCAGAAAATGGATAAAGGAAATTCTAAATCCTAAATTTTTAGATTTATTGCCCCATTTATCCGAATTAATTTATGACTCTAATAATAACTTCGGATTATAAAAAAACCCCATTAATCTGAAGAAAAGTTCCTGCACAATTGCCTTTGGTTTAACTGGGTTGCTTATGTATGTATAATAAAAACCAATAGTTTATTTAATATAACTTAATGCTATAACAATAGTAGGTATTAATAATATTATTATTATTGGTAATTAAAACAGAAATAGTAATAGAAAGAATAGCAGAAATAGGAGCAGTAGCAATAATAACAACAAAACAAAACAAAGACTTAGTTGAAGATTGGCTTTCTATGATGTCCTTGGAGGAATTAAATCACAATTTTGAAGGGGAAGAAAAGTTTCTTAATGAAAATGAAACCATTTATGTTGAAGATTCAGTTTCTAATATATCTAGTAATTTAACATCATCATCATCATCCACAACAACATCATCACCACATACAAATAATATTCAAAAGAGTACAGTTTGGGAGTTTTTTTGTGAAATTCATTGTTATTTGTTGCCAAAGATTTCTAGGTAGTAAGCAGGATAAATTTGTAAAATAAAATAATTGATGAGTGTAAAAAGTTAATTTGAACCTGGTCATAAAATGTAAGATAATCAAGATCGACCAAAAAGCTACTTTGCAATATGTGATTCACATCAAAATCCTTTAAACAATCTTTAACCAGTCCCAAAGACCGCATCTAAAGATCGGTCCTTCAGTCTTTCAAAAAAAGACCAGTCTTTTGGGATAAAGACCAGACCAACACAACCCTAAATTTATGAATAAAGGTTCTGGTTGGTGTCTCAAATGGATTGAAATGTTATTTATTGAAGTATATCCATATTGATGAACTGTAGGAGGTTCATACATACCAATGCCAAAAAAACTTGAAGCAAAAAAATGTACAGTAAATCCTGATAATTCAAATATATATGACCCAATTACTGGTAAGCAATCAGATAATTGTCTTCAAGGGGCTTTAGGAGCATATTTTGCATTTCAAGATGGGCATAATAAAGATCTTTGTTGCATATTTACTGCACAAAAACTTAAGAAATATTTGGATATTGTTAATTTGGAAGGTATACAAATGCCAACACCCATATGTTCTAGAACATTTGAAAAAATCAAAAAACAAAATCCAACAATTTCAATAAATGTTGTATGGAAATGGAAGGAAGAAAATTGCAAGCCCAAACCAGTAATGGCAAGCAAAAATTTATATCTTCCAAATTCCTGCAAGATTGAGGGATATAAGCATCCTAGACCATTTGAATGTCATGAAAAAAGACCACACAAAATTCAAATTATGGTGCTTTCTGAAGTTAAAAAAATCAATAATAATAATAAAGAAAATTTAATATCAAATGTAGATAGGGAAGGTAAGTATGGTTCAAAAACCCATTTCTTATGGATAGAAAACCCCAATAAATTAGCATTCAAAGACTCCAAGCATACTACAAAAAAGTTTATTTGTAATAATTGTTTTTGGAGCTTTACAACAGAAACAGGATGAGATAATCATATGGACACTTGTCCAGGATTAGGAGCAGCCCCACAAGTAGTTACAATGCCAAAAAAAGGTGGAAAAGATTTTGAGAAATTTAAGAATTATTCTAGAATGATGTATGTTCCTTGTGTAATAAATGCAGATTTTGAATGTAATCATATTAAAAAGGATGAAAACTATGGTGGAAAAATGCATAAACTAGCAGAACAAACTGCTAATAACATAGCGATAACGGGTATTCAATTTTAAGAAATGATCGGCATATTAATATGTTTCATATACAAACTGACCGTCATCTGACTTTTAACTCGACTTTGCGTCACCAAAATCAATTTTGCGGCAATAACAACAACATATTCTGATTTCTCACCTTCTATTTTATAGACTGCCAAAAT